ACAGAAGAATACCACCGTTCCGAGAAGGTCGCTTTACCCGTTCTGATACCGCGCCTCCCTTCACAAAAGGGAGAATCGCCGACTATAAATCCGGACGAACGATTACCCTTCGAAGGGACGCTAATTGTTTCGTAATGGCTATTTACGTGCCTGACGGTAATTCACGAGGCTGTTACCCCCTCGAAATGTTTCGCAGACGCCTTTTAATCGGTAGGACAACTCGGGTGTTTCACTGTTTATCGGTGTTGATTTATTTAATTATACATAGATCAACCTTCAAGTATTTCCAGAGGTCTTTTAATCGACGAGAATCAGGCTAGGCTGGTCAATTATAAATTGACATTCAAATGTTGAAGCAAATGCTTTTTAATCTCAAATAGTGATGCGCATGAAACGAGACAGATCTAGAAAAATCTCGAAACATGTCGAACGAATAATACCGATTAATAGTTACATTAATCATTAACAATATTCGTTCAAGCAATGACCGAGAATACGACTTTGCTGTAATATTACAGCGCGCGGACAGCGGTAGATGTTTTCTTCTAAAAATATTCAAAATCATTACTAACCAATAGGTAACTAGTTTGTGATTTCAGCTTTATAAAGTTTGTCAAGACTTCACATCAAACCTATTCATACGAACAAGCTCTTGTTCCGATCATAATTCAAACTAATTCAAACCACAAGTTACAAGAAGATTGTTCTTCTATAATTGTTTTTTTTTTTTTTAAATACTCTATGTGACGTACTCTTATTGGGATCCACGGGATTTTTTGTTTGCTCCACGTTTTATTCTATATTATTCTTTATTATTCTGCATCACTCCGTATTATTCCACATTATTCTACAGAATAACACACGATATTCTTTAATGAAACTCTATAGTATCTATCCATCAACCCAGTCTCCCACAGGGTGGTTCAATTTAAAAAATCTACCCCTCGTTTATACCGAACTATATTAAGACTGAACAGTCTCTTGGAATTACGTCGCGACGCGGCGGACGCGAGGCGTGCAACGATCCTTTCGTCGCGCGGGCGGAAAAATGCTGGCGATGTCGGCTGGCTCCAGGGGGTTGGCGGGGGTTGAAAAAGTGAAAACGGGAGAACATTCTCGTCCCATTAGCGGCGACATCGTTAAAAAAGCGACGTAAGCCTCGCCGGATTCCAAATAATAAACAGGACTGTCGATAAATCGACGCCGCGCGCGAGCAGGGGTGGCTTGGACGGGGGGGGATGAGAAGTTGTTCGAGCAGATCCCAGGCTTATTTCATTTCGTCAGCGAGAGCCTCGTTACGGGATCCGTTCGATTACGAGTTCCTGGATAAATTACGAGCTTATGCGAGAAAATCTACGACCCCGCCATGGGAACCCACCCCCTCGCCTCTGTGCTCGAATGCACATGCCACGATGAGCGCGCGCGCGCGCGAGCACCCCTGTCCATGCGAACCAGTGGTTCTTAACCTTTTTAAGTTTGTGGGACGGTTTGGAAGATCCTTAACACTAACGAGGTTTTATTTATACTTATTTCTAAACGTGGCCGAACAAGTGACTAAAGACACCTCTCGGAATTGGAATGTAAAAATAATTCACGTGGCGTTAAATTGCCATTAGAATTTTTGCGGTGGAGTGTTATTCGTGTTTGGTCCGGTTTAAAAAATTACGCACTGTAAGGTTAAGAACAAATCGTGTCTGGCTAATAAAATCCTTATTAAAAAGCTGATTTACAACCCTCTGTTACGTGATATACACAAATTAAACGCCAAACATTCGCGACACGGTTGGCGAAGAACCACTGGCTGTAAACAGACCGCGCACGCCCCCGACAGCCTAATTCAGACCTAACCGTTTACGGGACTCGCGGTGCGTCGGCGTTCGTACGTGTGCGTGCGTGAAAGCGCCGCTTAAATCCATATAAATACGCGCCCGTGAATCCCATCCATTAATCAGATTCGCGATACGGGGGAGTAGGCTCTCGTGCCCGTCGCCCGAGTGATTTCAACCCCTTCCAACGACCCCTCGTCGACTACTCTTTTTCCTCGTTTCTTTCTTTTCTTTTCTTTTTTTTTTTTATTTTTCGTTCCTCTTTCGCCGATATCTATAGAGGTCCATTTGCAGGGGTCACTGTGAGATGGCAGCACCTCCATTAAAATTCGACGCGAACCCTCTGCGAGAATCCGATGTATGCTGTGTCATGCCCTGCTTATAGCTCCGTATAGCCTAGCTTGCAAGTCCTGCTGCAAAGGCACGGCTGTCATTGCACACGTGTGGAAAATACGTGTGCCAGGGCGCGAAGGCAGCACGGTTATAACCCCCACGACTCCGTAGGGTTGTGAGCGGAATATGGTTTAGGGGTCTCGGCGCGAAACGGGGGATGAGAGGTCGCCTGGGCTCTCTGCGCCTATGTGTCCCCGAATAGGAGGGAGAGAATCTGCTCAACATTTTTCTCCTATTCGCTTGATTTTCCTGTTTTTTTTTTTCTCTCTCCTTTACACTCTACCAGTCCGTCTCCAGGGGGGCTCCTCTTTCTTTTTCGTTCCGGGCGATTTCGATTTGTTAACCGTTGTCGGAACGTTCGATTCGCATCCTCCTTTTCCTTGGGGGGGGGGGGGGGGTTGGTTGGCAGGGGTGCGAGTACGCGCATAATTTGATATGATTTGGAACGTGGCATCGCCATTCTTCTCGATTCGGAGGTATAATTTATTTATACTCTGTTTAATCTGTGTCTGTCGACAACTTGACCTCTTTCTGTGGTATTTTTAAAGGGTGACTTTTTCACGAGTGGTATCATTTGCTCCGAAAGTCTCAGTTCGTTGTGATAATTCTATTAAAATGATTCTATGATAATTACTTTTATCGGGTTTTCCAGAAAGTTCGTGGCAATTTTTATGAGAAATTCAAAGGCACGTTAGAATTTTGATATATGTTTATCGAATTATATAGGTACCATTTTGTTCCACAACTTTTCCACCGTTTAAGAGATGTGAACATGTTATTTGTTATCAACCATTTGCATATTCAGACCTGTCCCAAACACCGACAGGGACTCAGACAACCCAATGAATAATATTTAAAATATGTAGTCATATACAGCATTCTCTCAATGGAATGCCACTACAATAATTCTTAAATAGTACTTAACCTACATATTTTAGTTCCTGTATGAAGACCTAACATAAAATCTTCTTTTACTTTTGATTTTAATATTGTTTTATTTTCACTATATTCATTAAGTGGTGTGCTAACCACTTGTTGTTCTCTTTCGTGAAAACTCCTTTATGCGAGCACTCATGTCCCCTCTAATTAGCTCAAGCATCAAAGGTTCTACCTGTGTTCAAAACACTCACACATTCGAACAGTTCGATATTCCCCCAGTCGAGTATTCGTGTCACAATCCATCGAACATTTGGATCACGAGATTATTCAAATATTCGAATAATACAGAAAAATTGGACAAGTAGTCGCGGCCCCAGTTGGAAGTTCCCGGACGCAACTATCGACAGCTCGTGGAAACTCCTCCCCGTTGGCGGTCGGAAGGATGTCAGGTGTTCGATGAATGCTGAATCACCGCAATTTTGCATTTTTAAAGTCCTGGCCCACCTCCCGAAGTCCTGTTTCTCATCCCAGAGAACCCCGGGGGTGTCTCCTCACTCTTTTCGAGCCACGGTGGTTACGAAGCCGATTTATCGCCGAATCGAGCTCCTCCCCCTTAAACTAGCCCGCTAATTAGAAAAATAGAAAACTCTATTCTCGCCACCGCCGCGAGCTCATCCCCTTTTCCGTCTTTTTTCTCTCCTCTTCCGGCCTGCTTACTTCGGAGCGACGCTTCCCAGGACCGTCCCACCAGGCTCGACCCAAAGCCTCGTAAATCCACGGGGCTGGAAAAACCGCGGGTCCTTGGACGAAACGGATTCATTTAACCCCTGACTACTTATGCGCGAGAATTGTTGACTTTCGCGCGAGAAGAAATATTCTGTTAATAAAGACACGCGAAGTGACGAGAGAAACTGTTATTTTGTGGGGGTTGTTCTCAAAGAATTTATAAGGTTCTAGGTTTATATGATAGTGGAGTGTACGTTAGGGGTGGGTAGTGTGGCATTGTCCAAGCATTGGAAAGGAAATACAATCAGTCTCATAAATATTCGTATCCTCTATGTTCATTAAAGAAAGTAATAGCTTAAGTCTAGTAATAGCTTCAATGTTTTCAAATAAATGTTAACCTTATAGATGTATAGATTTATATATTTAATTCAAACAAATTTCTTTAATATACATAGAGGGTACGAATATTTATAGGACTCATTGTAAACACGTAAAAATTCCAGCCTCGCCAAACGAAACACCAAAACACTTACCGTTCGTCGTTTACCTTCCATTCGTCGAAATTTGTATCCGCGACGATAAATTCGCCCATCTCCGTCGTGCCGTGCTACTTATAGGTTAAACGCTCGTGCCGGGGAGTTTGTTCTCCGCGTGGCTCTGAATGCCGCAGAAGGTCGGATAACAATCGATTATCGCGGCCCGACAGCCGGAGCAACACTCCGTTTCCAAGTCCGCGGAGGATGAGAGGATCCTAGCTCCGCGGCATCCGCGCGCGGCTAGGTAGAAACGCGCGCGCTTAGGCATTAATTTGCATCCTAGGTAATCCTTAATTTACAACTCCGCCGGAGTTTTCCAGAGGGGTAGCATCGGCGGGTTCTCCGCGGGATTGGCTCGGAGTGTGCATCCCCTGCGTACACACGGTTCGCGTTGCACACGAACGCGCTCGCGTACACGGGAGTTCACGTACACATAGCTACGTTTATGCACCTTGCCGTGGAACAGGAACACGTAGTAGAAGCTACGGGTTGCAACGGCGAGGGTAGTAGGGGGTGGTCGAAGCGATAGGGAGGGTAGTCGCGACGCGCGGTGGGGGTTGGACGTTGAGGAAGGTGCAGCGGGATAGGCTTGGTGGGGGCAGGATAGGATCGTCGGGGGTTTGCGGGGTGGGTCGAAGGAAAAGGGATTCGGCAGACAGGGGCTGTGGCTGGTGCTGGATAGTCGGACTGGCCTCGGCGGTGGGGGGTTCGGGGGCTATGAAATGGCGGAACGCGGATAAAGGTAGGGGACAGTCGCGGAAGGACGAAAAGAGGGGCGATGGACGGAGGTCGAGAGTCGCGGGTTGGCTCACTCTGCGGCTCCCGCCGCTCGGGAGCAGACACGCGGGGCCAAAGACTAATTTGAACCTATTTTATTAACAAAAACAAAAACATACATATTTGTAAATAATACTAAATAACACGCAAATAATACACAGCAACGTCTCCAAAGAAGTCTCTCTTACCTTACTCTTTAAAAAAAGGAAAACTCTTAGACCGCTGTAAAGCAAAATAAAAAAAAAAATAAATAAACGAAAAGAGAATATCAACAACAACAATACAAGAACACGGAACCGCATAACGACAAAGTAAACTATTTCCAGTCCCTGTAAATCGTTACGAAGCCTGTATACGCGCGAAGAGAAGGACACGAGGATAAATTGGGAATCAAAAAAAGAAAGAGAGAGAGAGAGAGGGAGAGGGAGAGAGAGAGGGAGAGAGAGAGAGAGCGAGAGGAGCGAAGAGGATTAAGGATCGACTGTTTGCCGAGGCTACCACCAGGTCGGGAAGTGTGCGAACGCAGCGAGGAAAGAGCAGCAGGTGAGGCGCGAGTGGCGAAAAAGGGAAGGCCAAACGCGAGGAAAGGGCAACGTGAGGAAGAGGAATACAAAAAGGCAGCCGAGGACGTAAGAACGCGCGAGGGGCGATCGTAAATACGCGTGTCAGCCGCGGGGCGAATCTCGTTTTTTAAGTTCTCTCTGTACTCTGTGTGATTACATTATTTTGTCCCTCCGGGTGGGGACGGGTTCAGTGTTGTAACTTAGGATATAAGACGAATAAGAGCTCCGGAACGCACAACATACTTACAAAAAAAAAAAAAAGAATCCAAAGGAAAGAGGGCTAGAGAGAAAGAGAGAGAGAGAGAGAGAGAGAGAGAGAGTGAGAGAGAGAGATTGATTGATTGATTGATTGATTGATATAGGGACAGAACAAACGAAGGAGAGTGCGTGCGTGTGTGCCTGTGTGCGTGTCTGCGGGGCGAGAGAGTCAGAGAGATTCGGAGAAAGGAGGACTGTATCGCAACGTCGTGTGACGAAAGTCGAAGAGGGTCAAGAAGGGTGGAAAGGTGAAGATCGCGAGATAGAGAATCGTTCCGGTAACCCGTGGTGTATCTAACGCAAATCGGGGGCTCCAGTTTTCTATACTAGCACAAAGAAGCTTGTCAAGAGAAGAAAGAGAGGGAGTAAGGTGTAAGAAGCGAGAAAAATATAAAAGGTCTTCGGTCGTAATCTCGGGGTTTACCGTCAATCTCCACGTGTGTCGTAGCCGTGTGAACGTCGCGTTATTCGCTCCGCGGGTACTCGTCGAGTTCATCGTTCGCAAACTCGAAAGCAAACCCGACTACGAACCGAGGGTAGACAGGTGTCGAACGGACAAGCTGGCTCGCGTACACGATCCTTCGGGGGATATGTCCTGCCGTTCTAAGGGGAACCACTGCCCACGTGCACGAGCCTCACGCAGAGGGCAACGTCAAGCGAGTCGTATTTCCATCCTAGAACCCGGCAGCAAGCACTCCTGACAAAAAGAGTGCCCCCGCAGCCTGTCACGGTCCAGGATCGCGAACACCGACCACGGTCGAGTCGCCGTATCAGCCGCACGCACGTCCAGACACACGAGGAGCCCGGGGATGCCAGCGAGGGCACAGCAACGATCGCGGTTCGCGTACGTTCAGGGACGATGACGATCGGCCACGATCGTTAAGATCCAGGAAGCGGTAGCTCGGACGAGCGCCACGGAAATGGCGGGCTACAATCATTCGAATCCACAGCGTGTCGTCTATCACGCGACCTACCCGACGCCGCTCGCACCAAGTGAGTCCTGATCCCCGTTAGTCCAGAGACGAGCAGGCTCATAGAATTTCTTTCCGCCAGGTCGCACATTGCTCTCGAATCGCTCGTCGCGATGCCACGGCTTTCAAGGGCTCCGTGGATGGCTTTCTATAGTTTCTCTTCTGCGCTTTGACACGTTGTCCGTCGCCAACAACACGCCAATGAATTCTCTACGCTTAAACGAAATAGAAACAAAGTGTAGAATTTTTAATTCTGTAGATGCAATATTCTTGGCACGCAGAAATTTTCTACGAGCGTTTGTCTGGCAATCAACGTGTCAACGGCTTTTTATCGAGGGACTCTCTCATCGAGATGCTTGAAAAAGAGATTTAACTTTTTGAGAAAAACGTGCAACACAGGGGAGAGGATTTTTGGCCTTTGAGAGCGCGATGTAATTCACTAAAATTAATGATCTACGGTCAGTTTCATTAATATTCGTACCCTCTCTGTCTATTGGAGAAATTTATTTAAATTAAATGCTGGATTCGATGTTTCCAAGTGTATGTTTGTATAAATATGTTGATGTATATATAAATATATACATGTATAAGGTTATTCATATACATACTGATAATGAAAAATTCATTTGGTAATATAAAACTATTATTTAATTTAATCAAACTTCTTTAATAGACATAGAGGGCACGAATATTTATGTGATCGACTGTAGATGAAAAGGATTCTCAAGATTTTATTTTTAGTCTTCTTAGGGGTATGTAACTCTTCAGGCTGCTAGATTATAAAGATCTATAAACTCTCGAGCCAAATTTGGATTGCTTTTGTTTAATATAAGCTACGTATCTCGTAACTTTCAATTTGCCAGTGTTTCTTTTTGTAAGAGTTGGGGGATGCATCGAGACGCGTCTAAGGGATGTTTGCTGGATTAGCCTTATCGATGAGTCCGTCTTTCTTGGACGAAACGCCGACAGTTTTTTACACAACGTCTATCGGATTAAAGGTTACGAAATAGCTACTTATGTTATTTCAAGTCACTGCTAATAGCTTACAGCCGTTGATCTGCTTTAATTTTTCTTCTTTTCAAATATGCATTCACTATGATCACATTATTTTCTTTGTTCTATTAGCTTTTTTGGTTTGTCGAAAAGTCGATTCGAAGCTTTTCTACTGAAATTCCAAAATAAATAATTAAATGGTGGGATTAATGTAAATCTGCATACTATCAAAATTATGATTATTAAAATGCTCTTGACCGAGTTTGCAAAACGTCTTACTGAAATTTCAGTTCTTTTCGCTACCGCCTTTGCGTTACTGTCTGCAATACTAACGAATTACAAGTGAGGTGAGAAATTATTAATAATTTTAATAGAGTAGCTTATCACATTAATACATCTTAGGTGCAGGAATATCACTGAATAGTGATTATTAATATCGAATCAAAAGAAATAATTTTGTTCTCAACTAGTGTATTACATTCTCATTATATTCTCAAATCGATCGGAAAGTAGATTATTGCTTTTGATTTTATAATTATCGCACAGTTCTTACACGTAAGTCACATGTCTCTCTACGACGTAATCCTATTTCAATTTTAGGTGTCGAGAAGTATTCTCATACCTCTCGCTTCCACAATTAGCTTTCTTATTTATATTTGCTTATCATTATAGACACAGACATACCGAAAACGCTTTGCAAAGTTGACGAAGGCCATTATAACGTTCGGTACACTTTATTTGATCAATAATTAGCCTCGCGTCTGGCTGCGTCTTGCACATACACTGCGATGCCTTTCGTTGCCTTCTTATTCTCCTTTCTCTTCTTTTTCTATTTTGTTTCCTCCTTTCGGATTCTCCATCGGAGCATCGAGATTCCGAGTCCAGTCTCTGGACGATTTATTTTCAACGTTCTTTTCAGTTGCTCGCCGTTACCGCGTGCGCTTTTTAAAATTTAACGCCCGTACGGTCCGACCGCTCCCCGTCGAAATTGAGATATCACTCATCTTTATATCCGAACAAGGGTTCCGTGTGGCTGCGAGAGGCGCCGCGAAAATTCATAACAGCGCGGAAGGTATTGGCAATAAATTACCACGGAGCCGAGAAAGTGCAGCTGCACTTCCGGTGATATCAATAACGTTCCTACGCGAACCTGGGGACGGTAAACTGACATATTTCAGCCCTCCCCCGTGTCCCTTCGACGACGAACGGTCGTTTCCTTAATGCCTCGAAACGTCAATGCGCGCGTAATTTATTTGCGGTAATTTATACACATCCCTCCACCCCCTACCCTCTCGCGAGAACTCGCAACGAGAGAGAGACAGAGACGTATCGGAACACCGGTCGCCAGTTTTTTTTATTTTTCGCGTTCGACGGTGTCCGGTTAATGGCTCGCGATGAATCGTGCCACGTGACCCAGAAAATTGAATTTACTCCATCGGGCTCCTATCGGCGGGAAACACCGCCTACGTGTTTATACGCGAGCTTTCGTAAAAATAGAAGGCACGTTTCCTTGGCTCTGTTTTCATTTACGAATTAATTACGCATTTGAATATCTCGACGGTGTTGTAAGGTTATGCACGTGAACGGTGAATTACTTTCGTTAGCGTCGGTTACTCTTGCGCTCGGTGGACGGCTCGTGTACGCGTACCGATCGATAACTCCCTCGATCCGTTGTATATAAACACGGCTAATGATGTGTTACGCAAACGTCTGAGCTTTCGTCGAAATAAATATGTATGCACGAATTACGGTGACTCGCGTGATACGGCGAACGATCAGATTACGAGTGTCGGCCACTCGAATGATAGAGTTATACAGAGAGCCGCGGTATAAACGAAACCGTCGAGAGGGGTATCGAGTTTCCTCCTTCCCCACCCCACCACCCTTTTGCCACCGAATATTGGAAACCGTTCCACGCGAAATATCAGACGTTTCGGGGGTGGCATTTTCATCGCGTCTTTATTGGTCTGTTTAGATGGGGATCCGATAAAACTTCCGGAAAATTTGGAGACCCTGCCACGAGCCGAGCATTTTCCAACTCAGAGGCACCGATGGAACACCAACGAGGTGAGTCAGAGACCACGATCCTAATCGTATTCGAAATGGTATTTAATTACCAGATTTATTTTATCGTTAGCATTAAACGTACTGAATCTAGAGGTATTCACGCTCTAAGGGGAAAATACAAGGGAATATTTGAAAATATTCTAAAATCCCCTGAAGGAAACCTCATTTACTATTTGTATTCCTATTGAGATTTTCTAATCATTCTACTTTGTGTTTTATACGTTGTACACTTACTAGGTATACTCTTACTCATTCCACATATTTGATGTTAAAATTACTTTAGAATGTTATTTTTGATAAGTAATTTCTGTCTACTTTATATATGTTTTTACTTTAGATCTTTGTGCAAGAATTTCATCGGTAATTTTACTTTATATTTTTACCTCGAGAGATTTTCCCTTCGTATATCAAGAATTTTGTATAAAGAATTTCATAGATGAAAGAACAGAATTCTTTCCATAGAATTTTATATATGAAATTTGATGTACTATACATCATAGATGAATCTTCCTTCTCTTTACGATATTTCATATATTAGTATATATCACATAAAATTCCCTTCAAGTATAATTTTACTTTATATTTTTACCTCAAGAGATTTTGTATAAAGAATTTTATGCATGGAATTTGATATACTATACATATATCATAGATGGATCTCCCTTCCCTTTACAATATTTTAAATATTAATATATATTAACCACACCCATCGTCATACCCATCAGTTAGTTTAGACAAATGTCTTCAATGGACATAGAAGGTACGAATACTTATGTATCTTCTTTTGCTGCTCCTTGAAGACATTAACAAGAAAGTAACATACTTCTTTAAATTTTTCTACGCGTTTAATGTCCCCGCCACGACAAACCGAGAAATTCGATTCGACTCATCGCCAGCGGTATAATTTGATACTCATACGGCGTCGGTTGTAATTAGAAAAAAAAAAAGTACACGACGAGGGTTGGGAATATATCTGTATACATCGTGCAATTTGGAAGAGCTACGAGTGTTCTAAATTGTAAATTCGACAACAAAATTAGAGGGTACTTCGTACGCCCGAACCCTGGACGTCCGCTCTCAATTAAGGAAAACGTGAAAAGCTGAATTCAACTAGCGCGGGCCCACTGAAAAACGGGTAATAAAAAAGTTCCAGTCGAATTCCAACAAAAGAGCATACGCTTCCTAGCTGCACCAACCGGGTATATAGCGTGTTTCGCTAACCGTGCTACAAAGAGATTTCACTTTGTCGCATAAAGAGCCCTCTCGCATCGCATTCAGGAAAAAATTTCAAAACCCGAACGGAGCGAATTGTGGCATAAATTGGGAATCTTAAAAGCAACTGTCGATATTCTCGTAAATTCTTCCTCAAACTTTCGTTGGTTTAACGAGACTTCTCTGTTGACGTCACTGTAGACGGTACAAAGTACGAATGAAATTGTTGATGGTCTAATTGTTTATCAGTGATTTATTCATTGCTAGATTTTATAGGCGTACATGTTTAGAAGTTCAAAATAAATTGGTCATAATATTTACTTAAAAATTTTAATTTATTTTCAGTTTATCTTTATAAATAATTATATAATTTGCGAACTTGATGGTTAGTTTCTATGTAAAAGTTATTATCTACAACCAGAAACGTTCAAAATCGCGTCTTCGTTTTCTTATTTCTATATTTGTAGAAACAAAATATATGTAATTATTCCTTGCTTCATTCTTGAAATTTTAAAATTGTCCAATAAATATTAGAATCACTTTATTCTCACTGATTTAAAACCATTCCTGCCAGATAAAACAGAAACAGTCAATATATCGTTGACATAAAATCGAGCCACTAAGTTTCACATCTGCGTAATTGTTTATGCAATAACTTCGGTGTTAGATTTTACATTCGTCATTGCGAAAGTTTTCTTTGTATCATCGTACACGTGCACGCTACTTATGCCCGCGATAAAGACGTTCAATAATAGATGTAAGATACGTGTGTAGAGTGCAAGGTAAAACAGAAATGGAACAGACGAAGGGGAAATAGACTGTCTATAGTCAGACGGATATCGCGAATAGCACGGCGGGGGCCTATGTCTTTCCGCAATGTCTCGCACGTGTGCTATTTTAAGAATCCCTTCGAGTAACAATTGTTCGCAGTAATGGATCTTCGGAAACGTTTACGAATTTGTGTAAGAAAGGATGTAATGCACGCGTTTGGAATAAATCCAAGCCAGGGAGTAATCTTGACGAGCACCAAACCAAACAATATTCCGTTTGGCCCCATTCTTTGGATCTTCTTCGGGGAGGCGAATATTTAAAGCACAAAAACTGCGATCTACGATCTTTTGCTTGTTGATGCCTGTTGTGAACCCGCGTACAAATTTGGCAACTGTTCGATTTCGGATTTTCAATTTCCGTTCGCCATTAAGTCGAACTTTTTTAAGTCGTGTTTAGAAGAGTCAATACTTACGATAGGATATATGATCGATATATAAAACAATATATATACAGTCAGTCCCATAAATATTCGTACCCTATATACCAATCGAAGAAATTTGTTGTTGAAAAAATAAAGTAAAGGTCATCTCTTGTTCGTCGATTCCTAACACGAACTCGACTACAAAATCAACAATCGCGTCTTCAAAAGAAGGTCGACGTTTAAATAATGAAAAAAGTAAAGAGTACGAATCTCCTGTTCGTCGAAGCCCGATACTCGCGTACAAATTTGGCAACAATTTAAGATTCCGAGGCTGGCTCCCCGTTCGCGATTCGAGAACGAGGAACGGCGGTCTTCTTTTTCGTCGTAATAGCTCTTCGTGCCTTCGAGGGGTCGAAGTTTACCGGGCGGATTACGCCGACATCGTTAATACGTTCGCGATAAACTGTTCGTGAACGGAGTTAGCGAAATGGTCGATGCATTTACACGGAATTCCAGTAGGCACAACCGGTAAAGTAAATAGTCGACGTCGCAACGCCGTTGGTGGCTCGTACGTAGCGTCGGCGGTTAGAGAGGATAGATGCTGGCCCGTCCGTGTGCAGGCGACGGTTCTGTGTGCAGGGGTGCACATACCAACACGTGGAGCACCGTGCACTCGTAGGTGTACCGATGTAGTCCACTGCTACTCTGACCCCGGTCGGCCTTCGATCAATAGCTGGAGCCAGCTAGAGAGCTCAGCCGAGCCGAGTTGAGTTTTCAGTTCCGTCGAGTCGAACCCAATTGCGAGCCTATGCCTGCTGCCCCCCCTTGACTATCGCGATAAGTCTCTCTCCCTATCCGGTTTCCACCCTTTTTTCGATCTTCGATACTCTGCGCTTGTATCCTCTTGCCCTTTCTTCCTGACCCACTACGGGGGACAATGTTAGCCCACGTTTTCGTTTCTATTTGGAGATATAGACAGGGATAAATATATTAGGATGGTCTGAGAGCAACTGTTTTAGATACCGTGACATTTGAGGGTAGTTTGCAGAATTGAAAATCGTCAGTTTATCGAGGAAATTGCGCACGTTTGTTAGGGGGACCCTCGAGAGCTTTAGCTTTAGGACCTAGTTTGTTTCTTTGGGGCGAATCGATCCCTTGTGTGTATTTTTTTTTATGTATCAGTATATCTTCGAATATCTTTACTCTATGCTTTTGATGGATAATTTATTAAGAGGATACAATGTTTTTTTTTTTTTGAATGAAAAAATTTCACTCTACATTTTTCAACTAATTCGAATTTTTGTTCGAAATGAGAACTTCATTATAAATGACCATCACTCATTATTAGACTCATGATTAAAACTTGAACCTAAATAGGAATTTATTTTATTCTGCAGATATTATAACACCAACTTCACTTTCAATCTTTTCTATATTCCTGCATATTGTTTGCATTTTGTAGTTTCTTGGACATTCGAATTTTCTACAAATGCATACAGATCCGCAGTCTACTCATTATAAATGAAGTCGTCTATGTTAAACATTATCGGATAACGTGGTTCGCGAACATCTTTATCTACAACTTAATTTCTTTCAATATTTTCGCGAAACCACCCCCGAGTGTACATAAATCCACCAACAATAACATTCATTCCATCAATGATAAATCCCTAAATGTCATTTTATATTCATTTCATAAACTTCATATCGATACCAAAATACAAAAGCACCACGACTCGAAGCCAAATATCCCAAGAAAATATTTCTCTACAATTCCATATTATCTCCCCATCTACCTACTCTTTCACCAAAGCAGCTCAATATTATCGAACCCTACCCTTACCGCCTCTATACCGATCCAAACCAACTCCGATTTCATCGTTCGATCTCGAGCTCGTTCCTAATCGATCCCCGAAAGGATCGAGGTGGAACGTTCCGCCCCCTTGTCTCGCTTATCTATTGCGGCGTAATATGCATCGCTAATGAGGTCAACGTGGAACTCGAGCGGGGCTGCAACATCTTTTCATCTTCCGCGCGAGTGTCTGGCTTCGCGGGGCGTAACTTCGATGTAAAATTAGCGGGATCATAAATATGAATGAACCCCGGCGTCGTTATCGTGGCCGAAAGGAAAATTTTCAAGCGGCGGCACGATGTATCGCTATTGATATTGCGTCAATTTCTTTTTTCATTTAAAACCACCCCCTTCCGACCCCCTCCCCACCCCTCCCCTCCCCCATCTCGCGCTATCCGAGCGAAGCGGAACTGATGAAAGACCGCCGCATCAGCGATTCATACCCGCGAAACTATTCATGGGTTGAAGTTCTTGGGAAGTTAACGGAGCAACTTTCGTGCCACACGAGATGGGGGGGGGGGCGGGCGGGCGGGAGGGGAAGTTTAAGCCCCTACCCGAAATCCTTTGCCGGGGTCACTCGTACCCGTGATCTTGTTTTCTCGCTCGCTTTCTTCGCGCACCTTTTGCCTTTTCCATCCCCCGGCCCACCCCTCTTCGTTTCCACAACACCATTTTTTTGCGAGACCCTCTGACAGCATATGAGAGTACGTCATCAGCCAGGGACTCTCGGTATTCTCGTCTTTC